AAATGGCACCATAGTGCTGTATAAGTTAATGAACCTATCCCAATTTTTATACACATATAAAGGAAGTCTGAGGCAAGTGAGCTGGCAGTGCATGCCTATGTAGAGTTACTCCAGTGTAGGCCCATTGAAGTAATCTCTGCATAGGATCTCTAGTTCAGTTCCTGGCATTCTAAATTTAAGGAGTTCGGTTATCAGGTATTAGGTGAAACCTTTCACTGCCTTGAGAGCTATTAACAGAGTAAACAATATTGAGCTAGATGACTATCAATGTCATTTACTTCTATGACTAGTAGTTTTTGTTGACTGTAAATTGTAAAGTATATTCCCCCCCCCCAAAAAAAAATATTCTGCTGGTGCAGAAATGTACTGAAATTAATTCAAATGATTAACAACTTTAATCTGCCTCAAGTTGATCAATTCATTGAAAGCCTGGTAATTAATCAACTTAAAAACATTTCATCAGTTGATAACCCTAAATTTAATTAATGTCTCACTGCTGGTAATTTGCTTGTTTCCTTTTCTGCCAGTTTTTATTTATTTATTTATTTTTTATTTCCCTCTCCTAAAAAGGAGAGAAGTTTTGCTTTTACAATTCAGAAAGTTAGGAAGGGTATATAGAGGGATAAAGAAAAGTGTTGAGTGATGTTAAATGTTAGTATGTTAATCCTTTAAAATTAAAGTTAAAGTCAATAGCTTCTTCCGTTGTTGGACGATTCTCTTTTCCTCTCTCTTGTTCAAAACCAGGTCAACATGTTAGTAATGTCCTTTTGGGATTAGTATTACTTTTAAAGCATTGTCCGAAATAGTCTTTAAACTTTGGGGTCTTTCCCTTTTTTGTCCCTCAAGTTATACTTTATGCCAGTCGCTCCTTTGGCTTCCTCCTCCTTCACCTCTCCCTCCGAGCTGCTGTCATCTCCGCTGGCTCCTGACATCCACTTGGCAAGTTCTGCTTCTTCTTCTGTACTGGCGTGCCTCTTCAAAAAGTCTTGAGCCTTGAAGATAGAATCTATCTTTTCTCTTCTGTCTTTAAATTTAAAGACCAGTCCTTCGGGCACCAACCACCTGTAACTGATTTGGTGATTTTGTAAGAAAATGGTCAGTCCTTTATATTCCTTTTTTTCATTCTGATTTCAAATGGAACATCTTTCAAGATCCTGATCGTTTGATCTCCAATTTTCAAGGGTGTTGCTGAGACTGCTTTTAAAATCTGATCTCAGAGACGTTGCTTTGTAAATTTCACCACCACTTCCGCCGGCAACTTATTTTTCTTTGTAAAGTTGGAATAGGCTCGATAAGCCAAATCCATCTCTTCTTTTATTTTTTCCGCTTCATTGCCAGTCAGTGGTGCTAAAGCTGTTGCCAAAATGTCTCTGAGGTCCTCCTTCAACCCTAGGAATCGAAAAGTCAAATTCGCTTTCTCCATTTGAAGCAGTAACAATTTATTTTCCTGTTTTTCTTGTTGCTTTTCCACTTTAATGACCTTTTTCTTAACACTCTGTATTTCTTCTGTTGATGCCAAACATTTCTTTGCAATATCATCTACCTTGTCAGCTGTCTCTGTCATTTTTTTCTGTTGAAGACTGTAGGCACTTTCCATACTGTCCAGCTTCTGGTTGATTTTTTGCAGTTCTTCCAGTAGATGGCACAAAAGTCCCCGTTCTTGTTGATTGACAGCAGTACCAACAGGGGAAGGACTTGGACAGGAAGTCCCTCCTGTCTTCTTTGTCTGCTTCTCCAACAGCTTTTTGGGCCCCGCCATGTTTCGCTTTTGTTTATACTTTAAAAGCTCGTGTTACGCTGCTCAGGGATGGCTCCCTCGTCACCGCTTATTTTTCTGCCAGTTTTGAATCAATTAGAACCAGGGGTCATTCCGTAGAAAAAGAGGTGCAGGAGCTCATTAGCATAACTCATTAGCATAACTCATTTGCATGTGCCACACCCCCTGACGTCACCAGAAAAGGATCCCAATGAAGGAAAAATGTATCCTAACTGCGCTCAATTAATTTTTTAAATATTAAAGTGAACCAAATACTAAAATTTTTTGTGAAGTAAAAAATACATAAGATGAGTACAAAATATATACAGGTATTCAATAGTCATTAGTTGTATTGGTTGTTAACGATGATCTCTGGAATGTTCAACCATTTTGAAAGTTATCTTCTTATGAACAGATGAAGGGAAATGAACATGTGATGTCTCTGGTCAGTTTTTCAACTGGTACATTTCAAGAAATCTATTATTTTCTTCTATATGTCAAAACATTACTAAGAGAAAGTTCCTGATGATTCTACATAGGGCAAAATGCTGTAAGATGCCTTCATTGGGATCTTTTTCTGAAGCACTTCTTGGCTGTTACCATCTACTTTAAGCTAGATCACCAGAAGTGTGTCAGAAGGCAACACCCACCGCTCAGGCTCCGCCCCAAAAATATCCAGGTATTTCCCAACTCAGAGCTGGCGAGCCTACCTGGACAAAAACTGCTTCAAAAGCACAAAGCATAAATGTTTCAGAAATCCTTCCCCAAATCTCCCCAATCAAGATATAAATTCTTAGGTGCTTGCGCAGAGCAACCTCCCCTCTCAGCTTCACCCCACATTTCAGGGCAATGACTTGTCATGAATTTCGTGCAGTCTCTCGCTCACCTCGGTTCATGACCGTATAGGGTTCCGGTTTGACAACAGAATTAGAGGAATGCTACCTTTTCTCGCCTCAGAATTTTCAAGAGAGTGCCCCTTTTTGGGTCCTCTCTTTTATATTAGGAGGAAAACCACTGGGTCAGTGTTACTTCACAGCTGTTACCCAGCCCTCGTTTCTCCCTAATCTGTTCCTCACTGGCTGAGGGTATTTCTCCTCCTTATTCCATGTCAAACCCTTCCCCCCAGTTAAAGAAACAAGTAGTTTAGGCATCTCTCCTTGCAAGCCCAGCTCTTTTCCGTCCTCTTTGTCTTGGGTCTTTTCTTCCAGGTTGACTTCTGTGGTCCAGACCTCCCGTGGTCCTCGTGGTTGTTCCCTCGCTCTCCCGCTCACCTTGGTTCCTGTAGATGACTGTTCTCTTTGGGCTTCTTCTTCCCCTGTTGTGTTTAAGCCCGTCAGCTCTGTCTGACATGACTATGTTCCCTCATCAGCATGTGAGGAGGGGGGTCTTTTAATTTGCAAACTTAATATCTTCCTATATATTTAAGAATTCTCAAGAGACAATTTAACCTGTTATTTCAGAATATCTAAGTTCCTAGTTCGTGAGTAGCCAGCCTGCCGCTATCCGCTCTCTCAAGGAGGAAATGGTTCTTCCCTTTCCCACCATCCTAGTGTGCTGCCAAGCAAAACAGACCTGGTGGATCAGATTTCCTGATTATAAGCATGTTTGCTCAGAGTTGAGCTCCACGTGAGGCAGTGGTACTTCTTGATGAGAAGACAGAGCAAAGTCCATCAGCTGTTCCCATTATCGTTCCCTGGAATACAGAGACTGAGCAAGCCTAATCTCGTCGGATCTTGGAAGCCAAGTAGGGTCAGCCTTGGTTAGTACGTAGGTGGGAGACCACCACAGAAGTCCAGGGTCAGTACACAAAGGCAGGCAATGGCAAACCACCTCTGAACATATCTGCCCTTGGAAACCCCATGAGGGGTCACCACAAGTTGGCTGCAACTTGACGGCACTTCCTCTTACCATCACAGCTAAGAGACACACCAAAGAATTTGTTTAACATGAATTTGTTTAGCTCATCATTTAAGCTAGATGCCATCTTGTGGCAGTGAGTTCCATGTGCTTGGGATGACAGCCTGCACCTTGCACATGCTTCTTGCACTTTGGGCCACGCTGCACCATGGGTCATGTAGACTTAGAGCTACTCAGTCTTGGAGCTGTGGTAGAGCACGAGGCAGCAACTGGCCTGGGCGGGAGCAGAGCAGAGCCTAACCAGGTTGGCTCCTCCCCGCCCCCGTCCCAGCGCACTGCACTGCGACGTCGTTGCCACCTCGCCTTCCTCCGTGGCGGCAAATCAGCCCCCGGCCGCCATTGCCTTCGGCGGTGGCCGGGAGCTCCCTTGCCCCCCCCCCAGTCGGAATAATGAGACAGACAACAGTTTTTGGATCAAACAAGGGCCACTTTATTAATCATATACAGTTTATTAACCAAAAACGGCAAGGGAGCATTTCCTAAGTAGCAGAACAGACAAGGCAGGTGTCAGTCTGACCAGCCTCCTTGTCTAATATGTCTAAAAAAACTAAATATAACTTATTCTAAGATTTTTACAGGGTTATGAAGTAAACATCTAAAAAACTACACAATATTCAAATGTGTACTTGCTCACAACTTTAATAGTACTACCTTTTTTTTGCTCATGAGGTAGAATTTCTGTTCACAACACTGTGGAGCTTAGAGGGAACATTGCTTGCAATCACATTTTCTTCCTCTCCCCACAATAAACAACTTGTGAGGCAGGTGGGGCTGAGAGAGTTCTGAGAGAACTGTGCCTGACCCAAGGTCACCCAGCAGGCTTCATGTGGAGAGTGGGGAATCAAACCCTGATCTCCTGAGTAGAGTCTGCTGCTCTTAATCACTACATCACACTGAAGTGAGAGAGAGGAGTTATTATCTGGTTTGAACTAAGAATAAGTTGGAGGAGAATTCACAGGGCGAAAATGTTCTATTTGTCTCAAAGGTGAGCATTAAGAGTCGTTGTTGTTTGTATTCTGGTCCATGGGACTATGAGCATCATTGATGTTACTACTGTACCATTCTGTTGTGCTAAAGAAATTTTTGGTAAATCACATCAGAGCTTCAGGACTGATAGATCTATGATTCAGGTGATAATGGAATCTATTGGTGAAAAAGACACTCTTCCAATGAAGAGAGCATTTTTCCTCCATGAGGAGTTTTACGTATTTGTCAAATTATTTGTTGAATGTGCATGCGTATACTGCGTAACATTGTTGTCTGGCATCTGCTAATTAGTATTGCCTTTTAAAATGGAAATGTATTTTCTTTTTCTTTCTTTCTCAAGGAAGCTTGCAAGTTCGATACAGACTGATTAAGGACCAATCTCTTATTTTCACTATTGATTCTGGAAACTTTGCTAACCAAGAACTTCACCATGTGAAGATTAATAGAGATGGAAGAGAGCTAACCATTCAGGTATTTAATATGCCCATTAGTCTTTGCTTTCTCACAATGCATGGCTAGTGGGAAGCATTTGGCTCAACGGGTCATAAAGGGTGCCAGTCTTATTTAAGATACAGAAGGATCCAAAGTTTTTGCATCATTGGTTTCCTAATGTTTTTGAGCAACACTGATCTCTCCATTATTGCTCACATGGAGTGGAATGTGAGAAAGAGGGTCTCTGCTTCATACTTGCTTAAGGTGCACACAAGACACAAGTTAAGAGGAAATTGCACTGATCCTCCCCCACTAGGAAATAGATATAGGAAGACTCACCTTACATTTGGAGAATGCTGGTACTAGTAAGTAGAACCCAGGATCTCAATAGATGTGAACTCTATTCACAATTGTACTATGAACTTTGATACTATTGCCCTAACAGTTGTGCTTTGCCTTCCCTAATTGCCATTTAGGGAATTTGTAATTAAAGAAACTAAGGGGAGTTGCTGAAGTGACTCCTTGCTTTGCTATAACTAAAGGTTTTGAAATCCGTTAGTGAAAATTAAAGATTTATGAACTATAATAAATATCTCAATTCTGCAAATTGAATTTTGAAAACACATTCATTATTTATCATTTATTTGTCTCTCATATTTACAGAGTACCATTCTGCAAAACATCCAGTGTGGCACACAACACACACTACTGTAACGTAACCAAATAAAAATCAAAAACTCCAGACATCCGAGAAGTACAGACTAAAGTGAATTTTAAGACAGCAAATCAGCAGCGCCCACATGTTTGTCATAGGCAATGAATTATAAAAATGAAAGCTGCCAATCTGGAGAGAAGTCCTTTGAAATACTCTTAGAGCCTCATTGTTGGCAATGTTTGAGAAAGTTTGATTCAGAGCAGCCCTTCGTTGGACTGAGATATATAACTGATGAGCTCAACACCTAAACCTGGGAAGCCAAAGTACTTTCATGAAAACCCAGACGGGCCATCTGGAATCAATCAGCTTTTAAATGTTTAGCATGTGGCAAGATTTTGGCCTAATTTTCCAATTCCTCTTAGTAATCTACTTCTAAGTCATCATAGCCTGTGAGTTAAATTCACAACCCGAGGAATAATAAGTATCTCAGTTAAATCCATCCTTTTCACGAATGGAGCGACTTTGTGGAAGGAATTTTCACTACTCAGTACAATGCGTTTTGCCCTGAAAAGCCACACTCAAGGGTCAGAGCATATTGTGGGACGTGGTGCAGGGACTTTGCTACAACTCCACTCACTATATCCTACATTGTTCCTGAGGGCCCTTCCACCCTTCAGTGGCTTTTTAGGGAGGGTACATTAGGGGAGAATTTGGGGGAATTTGGGGGAGGGAGCTGCGGTGGCTCAAGTGGTTAAGACGCTGAACTGCAGGCTGTGGAAGGTCAGTAGTTCAGCAGTTCGAGACCCGGGTGCCGCATGATGGAGTGAGCTCCCCTCTCTAGTTCCAGCTCCTGCCCACCTAGCAGTTCGAAAGTAAGAAATTGCAAGTAGATAAATAGGTACCACTTCGGTGGGAAGGTAACAGCGTTCTGTGCGCCTTGGTGTTTAGTCATGCCGGCCACATGACCACGGAAACGTCTTCGGACAGCGCTGGCTCTTCGGCTTTGAAACGGAGATGAGCACCGCAACCCTAGAGTCGGACTCGACTGGCTTTCGAGCAAGGGAACCTTTACCTTTACACACAGAATGCTACACTGTACAGGAGAAAGTGAATTCACCATTTTTCTTCATCTATGTCCACAGTGTACTTTATGCCATCACGTTATGTCACATGCCAATTTTATGTCATCCTATTTATCTTTCCCAACATAAGACTAAGCCAAAATGGGAAACATTCAGCCACAGTTTCCTGGTTGTTTGTTGCAATCACACATAAGTTGCTGTGAGTTCTCATTAGGGGCCAAAGCACTTGTTGGATATTATAGAAGGGTTCCTTGAAAGCTCTGCTGTAAAGATACTGTGCCATACCTTTTAGCCTTTCCTGTAGAATTAAGGCACATTTATTTTGCTTTCTGTGACAACTGACTCCCAGCAGGGGCAGGTATTACTTATTTTCCAGTGAGAGGGCTTGTGTTATAGATTCATCAGGGTTCTCTGCATGCTGTAATAATGGAATCACTTTTATTGAACCCCTTCCAGATTGACCAGGTTCTCAAAGTCAAACACAACTTCTCTTTAGAGACGGACTTCAGAGCCATCAAATCTTTGACCTTGGGAAAAGTCACAGGTAGGCTTTGCTAATGGGCTTTCTGGTTGGAAGTGGCTCTCCATACAGTGTATTGTTTGGGGTATATATGAATGAATGAATTTTATTGTTACAGCACATAGCCAGCAATTATAAAAAACCATAAAAGTAACTTACAATAACCAAATGGTAAAACTACTTTAAAAACAAGAAGGTTACTAAGGAACAACATTAAACGGTCATTTTGATCACTAAAACCAGACTTAAGAATACGCTGCAATGGAATACATTTAAAGGAGTAAAATAGAATGACAAAAAAGGCAATAAGATTTAAAATCAAAAAGTCCTATCCCAAGTGACAACCAGAACACTGATGAGCTTTTACGACCAAGGAGCAAAATTTTGCAATGTCTGGATTTCAATGTCTAAAATATCCAGATGGTGAATCTTTGGGGTATATATGTGTGCAGTGTGGTAGAGCAGCAAATATAACAGAGATTTGTTTATATCTCTGACATATCTAGCAACAAGAGCTAAATATGAATCACATTGCTGGATGACACACTTGTTTTTTTTTAGTTAGGTAGATATTGTTTATATGGCCATAAGCCTTCACAATATCAAAACACTCTCAGAAAATATATACATTAACATATAATAGAATGTTTCAACCTCTATAAAATGTATAAAACACCTGTTATAATTATCTCAACCTCTGGTCTTTAAAACTGATAAGAACTTTTAAAATCACTCACTTGGTTGCAATGGTACTATTTGATTTCTTTGCTCTAATTTTTCTAGCAGCCAAGGCAAAGAGAGCCGATCTTGAAGAAATGAAGGGGTTCTCATCTGAGAGCAAAAAGGCCATCTTTTCATAATCAGACAGGGGATATAGGGCTGTCAATATCTTTGCTAAAAATTTGGCCCTGGGTTCTACATATAATGGACAGGCCAGAGTGTAGTGGGGAAGGTCTTCCACTGACTGCCATATATACAGATGCATTGGTCTACTGGAGTTTTTTTTATAGCGGTCAGCTAGCATCTCCGAAGGCATTGTTTGAAAACACACTAAAGTAAGGGATCTCCTGAGATTATACAAGGTAATGTTGTTTAAATAAGAAGCTCTTGAGTGGTCCTTTTTTATTATTTTAAAACACGGAGCAAACCTCGATTGGGCAATCAATGTGGCATCTATTAGTGCATCCTCTCTAAACATCCATTCACATAGGTTAATACTGTTTCCTGTATGTTGAAGCAGATCATCTGGAACAGTATATCTGCTGATGATATAATTAAGAAATTCAGGGCGGGCATTGTCTTTGTCATTTAGTAGATGGTAACTAAGTTTGCTGAATGCATTTGGTCTTTTTAGTTGATTTTTTTCCAAGAGTTTAGAATCATCAAATGAGCTCACACCCTTACTGATGGAAGTCCCAGTTCGGCTCATAACAGGGCAGCTGGTGTTCCTTTTGGAAGTGCCAGGATGCATCTCATAAATAAGTTTTGAATTATTTCTATAAGTTTTGAATTATTTCTACCCTAAGGAGTAAATGATCTTTCCATCCCCATATCTCGATGCCATACAATGATTGAGAAATTATTTTACTAACAAAGAGTTTCAGCGCTGGGTCTACGAGAAAACCTCGATATGTCTCCCATCGTCTTAAGGGCTAAAGCTTTAGTGGATTCTATATGGGTATCCCATTTAAGTGTTTCACTAAAGGTTAAGCCCAGATATTTGTAAAATCAACATTGCTCTATTGGGACTCCCTGTATGCTCCATTGGAACCTTCGTGGCCTCTTTTGGAAAACCATTACTCTAGATTTGCCATAGTTAATAGTGAGGTTGTCCTCTTTACAGTAGTCGCCTAAACAGTTCAGAAGCCTCTTCAAACCCCTTCTAGTTAAAGAAATCAGTACCATGTCATTGACATACAATAATATTGATTGATATTTTTTGCTATTCCAAAGAGGGTGCAATAAATTCTGGACCTGACAGTCTCTGGACTATATCGTTGATATATAAATTAAAAAGAAGGAGGGCTAAGACACATCCTTGCTTCACCCCCTTACCTACAGGTATTTTGCTCATTAAAGAGCCCGAAATACCTACTTTGATTTTGGCCACTGTATCTGCATATAGCTCCCAGATTAAGAATAGTAATCTCCTGTCAATATTTGTTTTAGCAAGCTTCTCCCACAAATGGGTCCTATCGATAGAATCAAAAACTGTGGCCAAATCAACAAAAACCACATACATGACTTTAGTTGGGCCATTCATGCTGGTATAAGCCATCTGATAAAGCATTTGATGATCCAGATGACACACTTGTCTGTGCCAAATATTAATCACAACAATTAACCATGTAGTATAAGAAAGCTCACAATGGCTGTGTTGTGCTATGAAAGCATGGAAAGGGCAGACTTATAAAGAACTGGAAGATCCTGACAGTTGTGTTGAGCATCTGAGTTGTGGCTCTGGAGAAAACAGAATACCATTGTCATTGCCATCCAGTGGTTCCAATCTGGGACTAACTACAAGGCAGAGAAATGGTATATGTTTAAGTCTCTCCTTACATCCATGGGTTGGAAACTAGTTGAACATTAACAATAATGGCTGCAGTCACGCACACTAAATAATCCACTTTCCAATTGCATTTTGCCAGTTCACACAGTAAAAATCCAGTTGGAAAGTGCACTGAAAGTGGATTGAAAGTAGATTGTTTAGCATGTGTGACCATAGCCAATATGTCAACAGTCAAGGGTCCACTGGCATAGTAAAAACAAACTTTTGGCACAAGCTCTTGTAAACTGCACCATGCAGTCAAAGTGCCTCCCAAGCTGCTTTCCCTTGAGTGAGGTTCCTGATATGGGAAGCAGACAAGGGGAAGGTCTCTGAAGGAAAACAGCCAGCAGGGGGATAGTAAATACTCTTTTCCCTCCCCTTCCAGTCTTTTGTTCAAAATCTCAAATTCTGAAACTAGGGTTGCCAGCATCCAGGTGGTGCCTGGAGTCCTTCTGGAATTATACCTGATTTCCAGATCACAGAGATTAATCCCTCTGCATAAAATGGCAACTTTGGAGAGTGGATTCTATGGCATCGATGCAAATCCTCCCCCCAATTCTGCCCTACCCAGACTCTGCTCCCAGATCTCCCAGATCTCCAAGGATTTTCTTACCTGGAGTTGGCAAACCTATCTGAAGTTGTTTCAGGTTTGCTTGATTCTTTCAAAAAGATTCCGGAGAGTGTTGCATGACTTACATGTGATACCTAGACCTTCCACACACACCCCAATTTTGAAAATAGGTATTTCTTTTTGGGGGGACAGAATCAGGAAGACTGGGTTGGCTCAGACATAATGCAAAACCATGGCTTATTTTACCTGCAATTATTGAATGTAACCTTGATTTGACCTGCAGATCAGTAAATCCTGGCTTGCTTTTCCTCCTTCAGGCTGTGAAGGCTGCAAGTAAAAATAATGCCCCCCTCTGGAAATGGGTTGCCATCGCTGAGATTACATTCAGCAGCTAGATATTGGCCCCTTCTGCACCTGTCTTTCCCCTTGGTTTCTGAACTCATATCAGTCTTCCATTCTGTATCCCCTCCCTTCACTGTCACTTTGTGTTGTGGCTTCTTCTTGGTTATGCATTTATTTTAGGGGGATCAGCAGTCAGACCACTTCCAGCACACTGTTGCCCCGCACTTCCCAAAAGTGCTTTTGCCACGAACTTTTGTTCTGCTCCATTTTGAAATCAATGCTACTATTTAAAGTAGAATTGTGTCTGCAAATGTTAAAGCACTGCCCACTGCCCTCCTACGTTTCAGCCTCTTTCTCTTTGGGCTACATTAGCCAGCCAATTTACATAATAACAGGTCCGCAGCCGTTTGGAGAATCGGAGAGCTACTGGAAAAAGCAATTTTTCAAGAAGCACTTCTAAGCCAAACAGATTTCTAAGTCAAACCCATCGACATCGAGTGCTGCTCCAAAGCTCAATCCAGTAGTGATTTTGGGTCTGTCGATGTTGATGCCTACGGTAGCCTCGATCCCGACTGCATCTGAAAAATTGAAGCCCCATCCTCGAGTTTTGACACTGGCCCTGTCATCCCCAGCAGACCAGCTTACACCGGCTCAGCATGCAAAGTCACCAATGATGAAGTCCTCTGGATCTTGTCACGACTCTTCCAGGGCTTCTAGACACTGCATCTTGTGACTCCCACCTGCCTATTCACATTTTGGATGATGGGGAGCACTTCATGAGAAGCCGATCTCGATTACCTCGATCACGCTATGATCGCAGGACATTCAACTACCATAGATCGCCATCCAGATCTCCATCTGGATCTGATTACAGATCTTGGTCCCCAGACCAGTGTTCCCTCTAAGCTGAGTTAATGTGAGCTACCTCACAGTTTTTTAGCCTCCAGCTCACACATTTTTGTCTTCGCTCAGGAAGGATGGCTCCAGAGCAAACCAATTCATGCAGCAGCCAAATCGCTTGCTCACAACTTTAATGCCAGTAGCTCACAAAGTAGAATTTTTGCTCACAAGACTCCACAGCTTAAAGGGAACATTGCCCCAGACCCTAGGCATTGCAGGTCCTATCATCATCCCTCCTACTTGAGGTCTCCGACGCCTTGTTGTGAGCCCTATAGAGCATTGCGGGATGCTTATCTCCGTCCCCGTTGCCCAACCATGTCTCATAGTAGATGCCCACTTTCTGATGCCTCAATGCACTCCTTGGTGATCAACCAACAGCCTGATGCATTGACTTTGGCAGACACCCCAAACCATTCTCCATCAGAACCTCGGTACCGTCCTCCTATTGATGCTAAACCAACTGTAGGTGCATCTCAGCATATTTGGTCACCATCTCCGGATTCAGTCTCTGACCACTCCATCTCTGGTGACCTGGACATCTTGATCGAGGATGATGGCCCTTGAGCAGGTTCTCTTTCACCTAGTGAAGGTCCAAAAGCTTACTTGGAACTCATAACTAGAATGACAACTGCCCTTCAAGTACAAGGCACCACCGATACACCA